ATATACAAAAATGTTCGTGTATACATAGGTTTTCATCCACTTTCACAAAATAAACATCAACATACCAACTAAACTGAACAACAACATATCTGAAACACATAAACACTAATATAAACATATAAACCCTAAAACAAACACAATACTACCTGATCAACACAAACACCACAACGATGGATATATCACTTCTTCAAAACATTAACAACATTCGCCACCAGAAACCCAAATATGGCAAACACCAGTCCGACCACGAACACAGTGATGGAGTGCAGCTTCTTCCCTGTCTGCTCTAACCGACAATGCAATGCCAGTAGGTCCACCTTGCTTATGACCAAATCTCGACCCATTTCTTCTTCCAGATGCTCCACTTCAAGTTTTTGTTCCACAATTTGAGCTCCACATTCATAAAAAATAGTATACAAATCATCAAAGTTGAGACGGTCCCTTGAATTTATTGATACCGATTCAAGTGACTGTGGTGGTGGTGTAGCCATCATGATTTATGTGAAAGAGATGTTTGTTGGATTGTTGGTATCGTTTAGTGGAAAAAGGGAACGAAGATTTAGGGTTTCAACCGATTTGCCCCTCCTTTTATGTCACAAGGGAGGGTCCACAATAAGTTGTAACCGTTAGGGCCCAAGTATTCTACGTCGACCCAACTCAGCGACATGGCCATCGATTTGACTCAAAGTTGACTCACTTGCTTACGTGTATTGTGACTTGCATTTGTTACCTTTTAAAATATGTAACTGGACCAATTCAGCCGGTAAATTAACATTTCGTTCTCTTAAAATTAAAATTAAAAAAAAAAAAAAAAAAAAAAAAAAAAAAAAAAAACTTTTAAACCGTAACATGTTACATGGTTAGGCTATAGTGACATTTACCCAACTGAAAACGGCGAATGGAAAACCTTGGGAGCGGATCAAAAAATTATCAAAATCAATGACAAAAAGGCTAGATTAAAAGTGACTAGTACAAAAAAGGGAAAATGATTTAAGAGACCATCGAAGTTTTAAATCATTCAGAAAAAACCATTCAAGTATTACATGTTCAAAAAACATCATCAAACTAAGACATAAGTTCAAGAAACACCAACGAAGTACATGTTCTGTTTAAAAAACATCATCTCTATTGTTTGGGGTAACTTACATATTTAGTCTCTAACTTTTTTTAACTCGGATGGTTTCTTTAGTTTAAATTTGATTCGACTTTTGATCATGATCGAGTTAAAAGACTAATATACACTAATTACTTTCATTTAACATTTTTTTTAATATTTATTAATTATTTATACAATTTATGTTATTATTATTATAAATATATCAATTGTATAAATAATTAACAAAACTAAATGTTAAATAAAACTAATAAGGGTATATTAGTCTTTTAACTCGATCATGGTCCGAAGGCAAAATAAATATAAATGCTAACCGTCCGAGTTAAAGAAAAAAAAAGCTAAGGGCTAAAGATGTATGTTACCCCAAACCATAAATATTGAGTTTTTTAACACAATATGTATTTTGTTGTGTTTTTGAACATATATCTTAGTTTGATTGTATTTTTTGAACATGTAATAATTGAATGGTGTTTTTTGTAAAACTTCAATAGTCTCCTAGTCATTATCCCTATATATATATATATATATATAAAAAAAAAAAAAAAAAAAAAAAAAAAAAAAAAAAAAAACTTAACCTAAAAAGACTGAAACGTTATTAAACCGACTCGAAAACAATCCAAAATCATTAATGTTCATCTCTACATATGGGTTATCTTATTTTAAATATTGAAAGGCTTTTAAAGTCATAAGTGGGCCACAAGTATACATACATGATTAGTATATGCTGTTAAATCAAATTAAATTCAATTATTTAAATATAATAAATTAAATCAGATATTTTGTATTATTTAATAATTATATTTTCTGACAATAATTTTTATTTAAGTTATATTAATTATTTTTATATAACTTTTATATATTTACATTTATTTTGATATATAATTGAATTAATTATTATTTTACATAATTAATATTGTGCTAAATAGTGTTGTAAAAATCTCAATTAGGTCCCGATTAATCTTCAATTAGTCTCTAGGTGTTACACGGCCGACTAAAAGGTGTTTATCGATTAGTCCATACATAGGCAATGAGTGGATATGTAGAAGCTAGTAAATGTTCAATACTTTGAATAAGTTTAATCTAAAAAAAAACTATTCGAAAAATAATTGGTGTTGTATTATTTATATTAAGTTATGATATTAGTGGTATTTACATACTTTGTTATGATACTAGTTATATTTATTTATTTTTACATGTAATTGATTTATATTTTAGGATCTCTGATTAGTCCCCGACTAGACCGACTAATCCCTAGTTGTTAGTCGACCGACTTGGTAATGTCTAACGACTTTTACAACATTCGAAAATATAACAATAACATAGTTGTTAATGTGATAATTATGACCATTTTAAAAAAATGATGATATTGTAGTGAGATAATTGTTAGGCGCGACAAATTTAAAATATGATATTGTATTATTGTGGATGAAAATCCGAAATTCTCAAATTGAATAAATGGTATTATATGAAAATATAGAATTTACCACTAAAAAAAAAATTGAACCGATCTAAAGCGGTTTCATTAATACTATTTTTTTTATTAACCGAACCAAATTGCATAATTATCGTTGGGTTATTATCGGATAAATATTTGGTTTAGAAAAATAATCAGACAAAACCAGTTTCTCGATGTAAACCAGTAAGATAAACAACTTTTAGCATAAAAACTGATTTCAATATGATCCGGTTTAGGAAAAATTGATATGTATGGTATATAACTTTTAATATGAATAAATGAAATAAGTTGATAATTATTTTATTACATGTTACAAAAGTGTTTTTATATTTATCAGTAGTCCGTAGATTAATATACTAAAGATTAAATATATGTAATAAAACAACACAAGATTCTGGGCCAGCCCAATCATAATAATTCAAAAAATCTGGCAAACATAATGACTAAAGAACAAATGCCAAATAAAGATGGAGGCCCACCCTCCCCCACACTTTTATTTCTTTATTCGTTGCTTGAAATATAGAACCGTTTTGCTTAATAATCAGATATTTAAAATATTTTGAAAAGTTTACATAGATATCTTAAAACAATTTTTGGTTTGTAATCATACTTTCAAAATGGATGTTTAATTATATTTTTATTTTAAAACATCATAGGTTTATAGTTGTATTATGGATTAAGTAAGTATGTTTGAACTTAAAGAAATTAAATATTCATTTTTTATTTTTATCTTTTATCCATGCGAAATAGTGATAAGTGTCTTAAAATGTTATTTTTTTATTAAAAAAATGATACTTATCACTATTTCACATAAATAGAAAGATAAATAGAAAGAAAAGACACGACGATATTTAATTTCTTAGACTTAAATTGTATCACCAATTGTATGCTTTCTGATAAACTTTAGAAACCTAGTTTAAACACCAGAAATATATTCTAACATCAGCTATTTTTGGCAAAATTCACTAATAATATCCAACCAATAACGAAGACATTACTTTTAAAAGAATTGTCAAAATATCATGAAGCCCAATCTAAAGCAAAAGCGTCTCTTCACAAACTCCATAAGACAAAAGCTATAATTCGTCACCTGAAACATACATTTATATAGTACCTTGTATTGTAAAGAAACAATGTATATTATATCGTTTTTCAAAAGAAAAAAATTGTAGTACATCTACTAAAAAAATATTATTTTATATCTATTTTTATTATTAAAGATGTAATTTTTTTTTTGTTTTTTTATATAAGATATTAATTTGGTTTATAATTTATTCTCTGATTAGGGATGTGAAAAATCATCGTGGGAGCCGATTCTGCGGGCCCAATTTTTCAGGTTTGGAGCAGGAGTGAAAGTTGATATGGTAAGATCCATCCTGAATATCCTGCAAGGAGCCCCAAAATAATTACCATATATTTAACTATTTTATTAAAAAAATTATTAAACCTAGAATACTGTAACGTATGTTTTCTATTTAAATAACTAATATAACATGTACGGTTAAATAAAATAAGCGAGTAAAAAAATTAAGTTAAATAAGGTTAAATTGATATACTAAAAGCAAATGTATTTTTAAAAAATGTTTTTGTATATTTATCTGATAGTCGTAGATATACTAAAAGGACACAAGATTCTGGGCCAGCCCAATCATAATAATTCAAAAATCTGGTATATGTAATGACTATAGAACAAAAGCCAAAATGCCAAATAAACACGGAGGCCCACCTTCTCCCCCACACCTCAATAGTTCATTAGTTCTATTTTTCCAGACACTAATTAGTCACTCTAAAAAAGATTAAGTATTTAGTGGATGTTTGGAATTATTTATTTAAAATACTTATTAAGTGGATACGACGATATCCAAGAGGTGGATCGCTGGCATCATGGGGAGTTTTTCAACAGCTGATGGCAGGGCGAGGTTGGGAACCTAGGAAATCCTAGGATATGCTCCAGTGAGTTAGTGGGGCAGTTCAGTGAGGTTGGGAGCCTAGGGGGAGCACGGTAGGTGCTTCAGTGGATATTGTGTTGCTGTTTGGCGGATATTTGGTGCATCAGTGGCATAGGTGACTTAAAGGATTCAGGACGATTGCTGGGGAAAGTATGGATAGGTGTGGAAGGTAGTATGAGCTCGTACTACTGAAAGCACAGGATCCATACTCGAATTAGTGAGAGTCTTGGAGAATCTAAGAAGCTGATGGGAAGGGGAATTCTTGGTTATGTTATGATAGTGGGGATAACTGCTTTGCCAGATAAGGATGAGCACACATGAAGGAGGACTAGGGTTTGGTCCCGGCTCCGGTGATGAGCCAGATAGCAGAAGGACTGTCAGGATTTTGAGATCATCGTGGATCTCTTGTATCGGACGACACAGATTGATTGTGCGTTCTATTTCACTTTCAGGATTAGAAACTATGTATTGGGGATGGTTAGTAGTCTGGTATAGAGCAGAGGTTGCTCCAACTATTGCAGTTCATCCATTGATGATTGAGTTGGTGAGTGTGCCAGGGTGCGAGACCCTGAATGATTTGATTTCTAGAGCTCGAGAACAAGTATTGATTTGGAGCACATTGGGAATAGGGGATCAGATCAGGTACATACATTGGAGGGTCTCGGAAAGGGACCCAAGGGTTCGAGTCAGTTGTGAGAGGCCAACAGGGTCGGATTTAGTGTGGTACTTGTGGGAAAATGCACAAGGGAGTTTTTGTTTTGGGGTTTTTAGTAAGAGTATCCCTAGGTGTGTTGCCCTGTTTAAGTTTAGACTATACATTCAAACATTTTTCATATGTCACTTGCATACCGTGAGTTACGGGGCGGTTAGTGAAAAGTTGTTTCCCTCTTTGCTGGTTTGGCACGTTCAATGTTATTTGGGTCTAAGGTCGAGATCAGTTCAGGGACATGATGCGGAAGGCCTATGGACAGGATTGGTGACTCGACCATTATGCTCGAGTCGGCTTTTAGAAGCTCTAGGGAAAGTGGGTTACTGCTGAGTATTGGCCTGGACATCGATTATTCAAACCTCAAGATATAGGTGCGACATCATTCCAATGCATCTAAGATTATTAGTCTTGCTGGGATTTGGGAAGTGTTTGTCCGATCTTCAAGAGTTGCATGGTCCTTGGGGATTTGGGACCGTAATAGAACACTCGCACGGAAAAGAAACAAGTTGTCAGCAGTTGGTTATTAAAGAGTAAGAAGGATTGGAAATCCTTCAAATCTCATGTATTGCGAAGACTTAGTCGAATCTAAGTGGGGGAGAATCACACAGGTATTCAGGACAGGGACATGTATAAGACCGGGTTGGGCTTCTCGTCCTCATCAAGGGAAAATGGTGGCCCAAGTGGCTATTTGGTTTGAGGGTTGTTCGAGTTTGGAGTCCGGTAAAACTCCCTGTCATGTGAATCACGTCTTCATGGGGGCTTGATAACATAATTTGGGGAGACAGGTTAGGGCTCCAATCATGAATGGAGTTCAGTTTGGGTGTTCGGTGGAGTGTGTGCTTGACTCTGTATGCGTTTCAAATCAATAGATTAGGGGTAAGGTATTAGGCTATGGTTGTGTTAGGATGAGGGTGTTGTAAGACTACGGGGGAGTTGTAGCCCTCACTAATAGTCAGTTGGTATGGGAGTGTTGTAAGACTATGGGGGAGTCGTAGCATTCACTAATAGTCAGTTGGTATGGGAGTGTTGTAAGACTACGGGGGAGCCATATCATTCACTAATGGTTAATCAGTATGAAAGTGTTGTAAGACTACGAGGGAGCCATAACATTCACTAATGGTCAGTGGGGTGAAAGTATTGTATGACTACGGGGGAGCCGTAGCATTCACCAGTAGTTAGATAGTGTAGAAAGTGTAGAAAGACTGCAGGGCAGTCGTGACATTCACAGATTCGTATAGATGACTTAGGCCAGGGATGGCCAGTTCGCAAGGTTTTGAGTAGGTCACAACATAATTAGAATCAATGAAGGGTAGGTCGAAGGAAACCGTGTATGATGTAAGACTACGGTTATTCTAATAGCACTCACCTTTTGCGTTGGATTCAGTGGTGACAGGTTGTTAGCATATCATGATCGGATGGATCAAATGGATTGAATGAGCCATGAGTGGCGGTATAGTTAGGGCAGTTATTTTCGGACGAGGTATCCTTCAGAGGTCGCATGAGACTGTTTAGTGTGTTTTGGCTTAGCAATCGGTTAGATGTCCGTTGTTTCGAGGGATTATCTGAGCTTCGGTCAGATATAAGTGTACTGCATGGAAATTTGGTATTTTGCTCTATTTTCTAGTGGGAACCTCAGGTTACCAGACGTTGCATAGCCAATTAGGAGATAAGTGTAATGAATTCAACAATGAGTCAGTGCGGGCGGTCTGTCAGGGAGACAAACCCTCTCGAGACTTCAAAAGTCGGACGGAGTAGATGTGATCTTGTTACGGGAAATTCGTTCATCTTCGGGTTCTAGAACCTTACGAAGGTTTGTCACGGTTACCCTGGGAAGGCTAGGGTGTGCCCAGGATGGTAACCATGTCGCCCAAGTTTTCGGGCGTGTAAGGGATGATAAGGAATGATTTTGAGGACGAAATATAATTTAAGTAGGGGAGAGTTGTAACATTTTGTTTATTTAATAAATAAATAGATAAAATTGATGAATGAATAGTCGCCCTAAATCCATATTATTTAGTGGGGTGTTGGTTTTGGGGAGCCACATGTTATAAATTGGTTTATTCGGGGGTTGAAGAGTAATTTTGGGATTTATTTTGAAAAGATTTTGGAGGCTAAGGGGCTGTTTGGTACATTAAGGATCAAATTTGAGAGGAATTATGGAAGGAGGGGTGTAAATGGTAAATTTTGTAACTAAACTGTAATAGATTTTAATGTTGGGGGTTTAAATGGTAAATATGGGATTATGGTTGAAAGAAAATGATATGGGGAGGGACCATTTCTGCCATTATAGAATTAAGCTTCCTAGGGCATGGGTATATAGCCAATACAAACCCAAAGCCTAACCCTAACTAAACCCTCCAGGTGTCACCCCCTTATGTCTCCTACCAGTTGCCACCCTTTCCACCTTCCTCTCTACCTCCAGCCGTCGCTGCCGGCTCTGACCACCTAGCACCATCGAATGACCCTTTTTACCGGTAATAGAGAACACCGATGGAAACTGGGGAAAGGACACTGCAACAGTTGAAGATTAGATAAGGAACTGATGTTGTAGGTGCCTCTTATTCGTGACTTCCTAGATGCCATTAAAGATGGAGATCGTCGGAGCCAACCCATCTACATCGGAAGTTGTTGTTGTGGACCGCCGCTGCCGTTCGTCGGGCAGTTGTGATCACCACATCTCTTCTCTCTTTCTTGCCATCGTCGTTGCCTCATTTCATGGTGGTCTCTTCTCAGTCACGACCATCGTCACCGTTTGGCTCGGTTCTGTTACTCAGGTCATTGGTCTAGCCACTGTAACTACCATCATATTTCGTCGTCGCTGCTTCTTCTGTTTCATGATCATGGGATTGTCCAGCTGCCGCCTGCCTCCGACGTTGAGGTTGCTGCTTTGTGGGTATATGAGTTCCGTCATGCGGGTGTTAGTCTCAACCCATGTCGCATGCGAGGATGTGTTTAAATGGCTGGAAAACGGAGGAGATCCCAAGGGCTCCAAAGTTTAGATCTGGTCTATATTATTGTCTAAATGGATAAAGTTTCCAATTTTATCCATTATGACACCCAAGAAGATCAAGATCTCAAACCCTAGGTCCCAATATATCCAAAATCCATGATGTCTTAATCATTAAGCCCTTAATCCTAAAACTTCCTTAACCTAACTACTCCATAAGGGTTTCTAATACCAGATCTATCATAAAGGTGGAAGCTTTATAGACATGCATGTCTAATACATGTCTATGATCCATCTTAGGTTAAAATATAAACCCTAAAGGCCAAAACTTAGGCAAATCTAAGATCTTCCATCAAAGACTAGATCCATAACATATAATACTCTTGGGACTCATGAGAATCATAAAGTTGCCAACCTTTTGAGTTCCTTCCTTCCAAAATTGCTCAAACATGAGGAACATAGTATAATATCTTAGATCTAACCACTTCAAGCCATAAAGTTTGAGCCTTTGATACTTACAAAGGTCCAGAAACAATGAAAGACATTGATGGTGTTGCTTCATTGTAAGAACCAATAATAGAGCACCTTTTTCTCATTCTTCTCTTCTTTTCTAAGTTAAGAAAGCTCCAAAAAGCTCAAGAATCAAACAAGGGATGAAGGCTAGGGTTTTCTATGGTGAAAGAGGGCTTGGAGACTGATAATGAACCCTAAAATGGGTTTAGAGATGTTTAAATACGAAAGGAACCCTAAAAGAATGATGGGCTTGGGCAAGATCAGCTACCATGTTGTAGCAACTCTTGGTCACGTTGTGGCAACTCAATAAATACGCATGTTATTTATCTATTGTCACGCCGTGGGTATCCCTGCTCCACGTCGTGACATAGAGTTTTTCTCAAAAACTCCATCTTTAGCCCTAGAGATTAAAAGTTAAACCATACTAGAACACGGGTGTTACACATGAATATTATTTTGAATTATCAAATTTGTTTTTTTAATAAATAAATTATAGATAACCACTGATAAAAAATAATCGAGAAAAAAACTCTTTGAAGTTTTAAAAAATTAATTTCTTTAAATGTTAGTTTATATTGACATGTTGTAGAATTTAAAAACAAACAATATTCTTCTTGCAAACTACAGATGTTTGATCCATATCTTCTTCTACAATTGTCACAAAGATGGTTTGCAAATTGCAGACTTTTTACCTATCTAAAAACAACTAGTACTTTGCAATACGAAAGTGATCATCGAGTCACTAATATCTGACATCAAATGTTCAAGTCGCACTAAAGTCAAAACACCAGTCCCCCATAAATCTGTATGCATCTCATATATGATATTGGTTATGTTTGATGTACTAGCTGAAAAGTTATCTGTTAAATAAAAAGCTATTTGGTAGCTGAAAAATTAGCTAATATAAAATAACGTTTGATAAAAATAACTGAAAGATATAAAATGACATAAAAGAACATGTAAAAAAAGCGTTTTTAGAATTAATTTAAAGGTATATTTAAAAAAAAAAATTAAAAACTCTTATAAAACTAGTCCAAGTAGCTTTTTAAAAAACAATTTTTTGGTTTTTCAAACATGACAACTTAGAAATGCTCAAAAAATAAGTTGTGTCACACCAAACAAAACCATTGTCCGCACGATAAAAAAAAACTTTAAATATTCATCATAATTTAAAGATATTATTATAAATTGTGTCAACAACATATGCATCATAATTTAAAGATATTATTATAAATTGTATCAACAACTAAAATCAACAGCGAGCTTAAGTGCAACCAAGGTGCATCCAATGACCCACCTAATTTTTTTAATTATTTAAAATTTCTATAGAAATTTTTTAATGATCTACCCTTAAAAAAATTTTAAGAACTATCGTACCTATAAAATCTTTGAATTTGTAGATAAAATTTTCTATAACAAAATTAGTGAACTACATAGTTTTCTATTCTAGACTTGCCACCGACTAAAATACATTATTTTATAGGACATGTGGTAAGAAAACACTATGTATTCAAAGAAGTCAACACCCTAATTACCACCTAATGTTCCCCCCTAACCCCCTAAATCTTAAAGACACCTACAACACCAAAACGACTCAATTAACCAAATCAAGTCACACATACAAACTTCTAATACCTCTTACACAAATCTTAGGACCCCATATAACCACTAGAATGCAAATAGAGACCAAAACACAAAAATATCAAAATTGTTGTCTAAGTGCCCCATATGACTTTATGATATATTTATTGGGACCCTATTTGGTCGTATGGAAGTCGGCAATTGCATAAACGAACAAATACCAAAACTACAAATTTACTACCAAATCTAGTATAGTAATATCTCATTGTCTTATTCATTGATTTGGTATTGATTTATGGAGTCTTTGATTTGATGATATTAAACTCCCCAATAAGTCCATAACACCATTAACATCAAAAGACACTTGAAGTGCACTCCCCAAACATCAATTTCATAAAAAATTGGCCAAGATAGTGATAATAATGGATTAGGGTTCTAGTTTTACGAATAAATCTTGGGCTTTGACTTTGGGATTAAATTTAAGTTATTGGGCTCAAGATCCAGACAGCAAAAATTCAAGTTGTAGCCTTTGTAGGTCCGGGAATGAATGAATCGATCGGAGAACAGAGAAGCTGCTCAAACGACATCGTACGCCTTGTGTCTCTCTCACCAAGCGAAGAAGCTCCGGCATCTCATTCCGGCCACCGTTTCCTTGTTTCTCCGTTTATCCGCTCCTGCGATTGGCTCTCTTGTATAACAACAGAGTACAGGTTACTGATTTGATTATTATGTACACAGCTATAGGAAAGTTTACAGTTTTTTCACAAGTTGCTTAGGTGGATCTATCAAAAGTATGTTGTTGAATAAAGATCTGTACGCTTGTAATTAGTCTTTTTTAATTTCGTGACTGTGACATGTTTCGATTCTTTTCTGCTGAATTACCGATGTTGCATACATATCATGCATTCCAACTGTTCGACGAAATGCCTGTAAGAAGTTTGATCAGGCCCGTGTAAGACACGTGTGGCTTTTAGGTTAAAGTATACTCAAATCCAACTTCGAAACGTCTTTTTCTCTCTCTATAGCAACAGTAAGAGCTGCATTTTGATTGTCAATGTCAAACATGAAACTTTTCGATTGGGAAATAGTGAAATATCGATTGATCTGTAGTTATTACTATGAAAAGAGTTACACTTTCTTTCTTGATATCTTCTCTGTATAGCTCTGAAAGATCTATAACTTTTTCTTTTACATTTCATAACAGAGAATCACAATGCTACGTGTAGCAACCAGACTCTCAAGACGCATACTATCTTCAGCTGAATATCATTCATCACTCTTCAGAAACCAGTCATTCTTCACCAATTCAGTGGGAATAGACTCCGGAATAAAGCATTCCATTCCAGGTGACTTTCACAAACGGGCTTCAATTCCCACCCACAGCTTTTCAAGCTTTGCCTCTGGCTTCACTCCATTGAAGCACAAGCCATTGGAATCCCTCATTGATATTGAAAGAGCAAAGCTTCAAACTCCAGAAGATCTAGCTTCGATTTGGGATGATGTATGTTCCTTTCACTTTGTGATCTGATCTCTTTCCATTTCAATCCCAATACTTTTCTTTGAATTATCTTTTTTCTTTAAATTTTAATTTCCAATTACATGTTACTTCAATTACTCCATTCTCTGTCATCTAGACAACGACAGGTGTCTGAGTTTCAGGAACATAAGATTGATAGAACATTACAGCTGTTTTCCATTATATTAAAATCTTGTTTTACTTTCCAATTTCCATCCTTTTCATGATGAAGATATTTATTATGAATGTTACTGAATGTGAGTTTACACTTTGTATTCAGTTTCACATTGGAAGAGGTCATATTGGTGCATCAATGAAGACAAAGCTGTATAAATTGCTTGAACACAGAGCTGCTGATTGGTAAGTCACATCTTAACTTCCATAATATCTTCATCATGACATCATCAATTATTGTTGTTATTAAATTTGGTTGTTTAATTTGTGGAATCCTACACAACTACACAAGTGGACTTTTATTTTGTAATTTGCAGCCGATATTTTGTGATTCCAGTGTGGAAAGGAAGCGGTTATACAACCATGTTTATGCAAGGTTTGATTTCCTTTTTTAAATAAAAGTTAATTATATTTTGGTCTTATTTCTAATATTTTGTGATTTGTAAAACAGTGGAAATGCCACATATTCTTTTTACTGGACTTGAGGATTACAAAGCAAGAGGGACTCAAGCTTCTCCTTATTTGACTGTTTCTCATTACAAAGAGTTTTGTGAAACAAAGGATTTAGTTCTTATTAGAGGTGATGTTGTCTTTACAAGCAAATTAACCGATTCAGAGGCGAAATGGCTTTTGGAAACTGCACAATCTTTTTATTTGAATGACATGAGGTACAAATTGGTTGAACGATTTAACAAAAACACAAGTGAGTTTGAGTTTAAAGATGTTTTACGAGCTCTAGACATGCCTATGATGTAATTTGTTTTGAATTGTTATGTTATTTTATAGGAATGATAATAATGTGATGTTTGTTTTTTTTGACTTGAAAGAAGTTTCATTTTCGTATTCAAAGTTTCGATATAAGTGATCTGTTTAATTAAACGCATTGAAACTAAAAAAAGAATTATGAAAGTAAAGAAAAAGTTATATTTTAGCAATGGGCTCACTTATCTCGTACAAATCAAAATCAAAACCACTTCAAAAAATTGTACCTTTCCTAAAACCTTTTAATCTAAAAGCCACAAATTAATCTAAAGAGTTCGTATAGTTGTTATTGGTTAAATCAACCACATCTTGATATTGCACTATAGGATGAGCTCAATGTCCAACGAACAACCAAGTTGCCTTCAAATGGTTTAAGCCACCAAGCACGAAATGAATAAGTGGTTAGCCGACGCCATGTGATTTTCACAAATAGAGTAAAGAATAGGATTCGAGTCTCACTATTTTTTTTTTTTATTCAAATGAAATCTTGTAAGCAACCTATCCATATAAGTTCTCCAACACAAAATATTAATTTTAATGAGAACTAACGTATTCCACATTCCACATGTAGCACCATCTCCCATGACCAAAGCTAGTGCATCAATGTGTAAGTTCATTAGGTTAACAAGAAACAACATATAAGTCTACTATATTGATGTTAACTTGTAATAATTTCTTAGAAAACTAGTCAATTGTGGCTTCCATGGATTCGCGTAGGGATGAGCATGTGGATCGGGGAACCGGCCGGAACCGGAACCGGAACCCGATGGAACCGGTCGGGCCGGGACTGGAACGTTATTTTTGTGGATTTTTGGAACCGGAAACCGATAGGAACCGGAACCGATATAACTGGAACCGTTAGAACCGGCAAAAACCGGTAAAAACCGGAACCGTATGATGCTACTTTTCGAGGACCGGTTCCAACATTTGAAGACACGGCAAGAACCGGTAGAACCGCCGGACCGGTTCGGTTCTTGATTTTGGCCAAAGCCGGTTCCGGTCCGGTTCGGGCCAGTTCCGGCCGGTTCGGTCCTTTTGCTCATCCCTAGATTCGCGCATATAAGTCATTGCTAATGTTGCAAAAATAAGAGTTTGAATACCACTTGTAAATAATTCAAGGAACATGATAGGGATAGGAACCACTGAAGATACTAAAGAAACAAGAACAACAACTACTAATTCATTGGCTAATATATTTTTGGAAAGTCGAAAACTAAGTGATAAGGGGTTTGTTAAATCTTCTAAGATATTAATAGGTAAAAGAATTGGAGTTGGTTGAATATATTTACCGAAATAATATAATCCGTTTTTGCTAAGACTTGCAAAGAAATATGTCACTAATGTGAGTAAAACCAAAACAATAGTAGTATTTATATCATTCGTGGGCGCAACTAACTCCCCATGAGGTATTTGTATGATTTTCCAAAGATAAAAGGGCACTGTTCGAGGCATTTGTGTAAGTCCTTAAAATGGAATGATGGCAGACATGATTTTTATCAAAACATTATTTTGTCCTGTGTTAGAGGGTTTAACTCATTTTTGGTTATTTAACTTTTAGTTTTATGCTCATTTGGTCATTTAATTATTTTAAGTTTTAAAAGATCATCAAACTTTTGATTTTGTGCTCATTTAATCACTTAACTTTTGGTTTGATCACATTTAATCACTTAATTTTTAGATTTGTGCTTATTTAGTCACCTAACTTTTAAAATTATGTTTATTTGATCACTAAACTTAAAAAAATTTAAAAGTTTAGTGACTAATAAGCACAATTTTAAAAGTTAGATGACTAAGTGTGACAAAACCAAAATTTAAGTGACTAAATGAGCACAAAACTAAAAAGTTAAGTGACCAAAAACGACCTAAATTCATATATATATATATATATATATATATATATATATATATATATATATATAAGAAGTTTTTTTTCTACATATTTTTTTCGCGAACAAACAAAATGAATCATTAGATGATTCATTTGTAAGATGATTCACAAGAAAAAATTCTCAAAAAAACATCTCGATGATTCATTTATACAATGATTTTGTTGTTATTCACTAAAATTATCATAAAAATGAATTTTTTCTTAATTTACTTAAAAATGAATCATAAAGATGTTTTTTTGAGAATTTTTTCTTATGAATCGTCTTACAAATGAATCATCTAGTGATTCATTTATTTTGTTCGTCAAAAAAATATGTAGAAAAAAAACTTCTTACCTTTCTACCAAAAAAATTTTCTTACCAGATCTATATATATATATATATATATATATATATATATATATATATATATATATATATATATATATATATATATATATATATATATATATTCATGATGTATTGCTACTAGAAATCAAGATATTGAGGTTGGAGTTGTCAGGAGATTCATAACTTTTAGAGCACAACCAATCTATATTTGAACCCCCTTTGTCAATTGTGTTATGGCCGGAGTCCAACTCATGATGATCTGGTCGAATTAGGAGAAGTCGTATGTATTATTGCAAGTTAATCTATTGGAGTAGCGGTCACTCAGTTAACATTATGAACTTTTCATACGGAGACATTAATTGCTTTTTCCCAAATGCATTGATGTTGCCCTTTTTTTCATTCTAGTTATTCAGGTGGTAAGGAATAAAGAAAATTAAAGATACAATTAAAATAGCAACCCCTTATTTTTATTTTATTTTAATTATTAATGTTGTAGTTTATATGATGAAAAGCCTTGTGGCCCATCTCTTATTAATGTTTGTAATGGTATTGTGAGTTTTCATTTTCATTTGGGAAGAACTTGTATCAGCGCATCGATGAAGACAAAGTTGTATCATTTGATGGAGCATCGGGTTGTCGACTAGCTGTCGATCAATATTTTATTTAATATAGGAGCAATAAAAAAAACTTAAGTCAAAAGATTACTTTTTCCTAGATTGTTGAAAACGCATGTAACTCTTCCATCCAATGGATTTTAAGAGTTGAAATTAATAGATAATAATTCATAAATGAGGTCTTGGTTTCAAGTTTCAAGCCAATGTAAATATCATATTTATTGCTAATATGACCATTATGGTTTACCACCTCATACGCTTCTATATGGAATACCAGTTGAAAAACTAGTTTTAACTTATAAAATAGTTTATCAATAAGTTATTTTAAATAATTTATCAAAATCAAGATAACGTCCAAACATTGCATCTTTCCTAAGAACTTTTGATCTAAAAAACCATGAATTGTGGAAAGCTCATATAGTTGTTAAAGAACCACATCTAGACACTACCGTTGCAAATTAGCTCAATGTCATACTAACGGCTAATTTTCCTTCAAAAAGGATAAACCACAAAGCAAGACATGAATAATTGGTCAACCGATCCCACATGATTTTCACAAATAGGATAAAGAATAAAGTCCAAATCTATTGTTTTCTTTTATCCAAATTAGTTCTAGTAGGCAACCAATCCATATAAGTTCTCCCACCAAAATATTAATTTTAGGGATAATGACATAAAAGAGTAATATATTTTTTTGATTTGTACACATTTAGTCATTGATTTTTTTTTCATCCACATTTACCCCTTCAATTTGTTAAACTGTACACATTTACTCCTTATGACCGACTACTCCAGGTTAGCCGGTAAAATGATTTAATAGGGTATATTTTTCACTGTGTACACATTTAGTCCTTAATATTTTTTTGTTACAAAATAAGTTATTTTTGTTTTTGTACTTATTTAGTATTTATGAATGATTTCTTTGGGTTTTTCTCACGACATCTTATGTGGGATAGTCATATGGTGGTAGGATAGATTGAGGTGGTCCTGCTATATGTTGTAGGCTAAGATACATGGTGCGGGCCGACTGTAAGACGTAGGCACGGAGGCTCGAGAAGAGCAATTGGGTTAAGGTGGCATGCCGACAAACCCTGGGTATTCCAGTTTGATGATTGATTGGACATGTTGCATGTTGGCATTCCAGTCTGATGACTGATTGGGCCAATGTATTCCAATATGATGAGTGTGGGCCCGTTATGCATGATAATACATTTGTTGTATCGGGTATTTTGGGGGAAACTCACTAAAGTTTGTGTTTACCCAATTGTTTATGTTTTCCAGTTCTATTGTTAATCATAGGAAGGTGAAGACATGACTATACACACCCATCAACAATATTAATTATTTCGCGTTTCTTATATTACTCTAATTTTCGATAAATGTATTTTGGAATAAACGTTTTTTTTAATAATGGATTTATAATTAGGGCATTTTGCCTTATTTAAAAGTGAAATTTTGTGTTTGTGAAAATGAGACGTTGCATATAAACATCAATAGTCTCACACACTTCATCAATGATTGTCCTACATAAGATGTCGTGAGAAAAACCTAAAGAAATCATTCATAAGTATTGAATGAGTACAAAAAACAAAATTGACTTCTTTTGAAACAAAAAAAAATATTAATGACTAAATATGCACAAAAATATTAAGGGCTAAATGTGTACAAAATGATAAATATATTACCATACTAAGTTATTTTTCCGGCTAACTTGGAGTAACCGGTCATAAGGGCTGACTGTTTACAGTTTAACAAGTTAAATGGGTAAATGTGGAAGGAAAAAAAAGTCAGTGACCAAATATATACAAATAAAAAAAATATATTACCCTTTTAAATCATTATATCTTAATTTTAATAGGAGCCAACCTATTCCACTTATAGCATCATCTCCTGTGACCAAAATATTACATCAATGTATAAGTCAATTATGTTAACAAGAAAAATACCTAACTGCTCTTTATTGATGTTAACTTGGTTTAGTTTCAATTTTTTTTTTCTTGTTAATGTTGTAGAGCTTCAATTTTTTTTCTTGTTAATGTTGTAGTTTATATGATTAAAACCTTATGGGCCATATCTTATCAATGTTTGTAATGGTATTGAAACAATTGATTATGAGTTTTCATTTTCAGTTCGGAAGAGCTTCGGAAGAGCTTGGATTCGTGTATTGATGAAGGCAAAGTTGTATCATTCGATGGAGCATTTGTCTCGTATTTTATATTTAATAAAATAAAAAGAGTTTAAGCCAAAGGCTTAATCTCTTATGGATTGTTCAAAAAGCCAATAACTC